GAACATGGGTGAAAAGGATTCTGGAGCTTAAAGAGACATGAGGTGCAGAGTTTACTTTAAAAATTTCAAAAACTTTACGAAACCACAAGGAAGTCCATTTCTAGGTAGAAAAGATGGGGCCGAGACTCTGTAACGGAGAGTAAACAGAGATATTGTCTAAATCTCCATTTCTTCTAAAGTCAAGCAAAGGGAAACGATTCAAAGTCTATATTCTGCATCCAAACTCTTGACTCAAAAGCTTAGAGAGAGACTGAGCAGGAGGTCTCTTTTTTTTGGGGGGGGGGGGCTGAAAACCAAGGGCATGCAACCCGAGCATCATCACTCTAAGTCAACATTTCTCAACCTGTGGGTCGGGACCACTTTGGGGGGGGGGGGAGTCGCAAGGAGTGTCAGAGGGGTCACAGAAGACCATGAGAAATACAGTATTTTCTGTTGGTTATTGGTGTTCTGACCCAATTCTATCATTGGTGGGGTTCAGTATGTTCTTTAATTATAGGTGAACTATAAATCCCAGCAACTATAACCCCCAAATGTCAAGGTCTATTTTCCCCAAACTCTACCACTTTTCACATTTGGGAATATTGAGTATTCGTGCGAAGTTTGGTCCAGTCCCATCATTGTTTGAGTCCTCAGTGCTCTCTGCATGTAAGTGAACTACACTTCCAAAACTCAAGGTCAATACCCACCAAACCCTCCCAGTATTTTTCTGGTGGTCATGGGTGGTGGAGTTCAGAATGCTCTTTGATTGTAGGTGAAGTATAAATCCCGGCATCTATAACTCCCAAATGACAAAACCATACTCCCCCCCCCCCCCCCATCCCACCAGTATTCAAATTTAGGTGTTTCGGGTATTTGTGCCAAATGTGGTCCAGTGAATGAAAATACATCCCGCATCTCAGATAATTACATTACGATTCATAACAGTAGAAAAATGACAGTTATGAAGTAGCAATGAAAATAATGTTATGGTTGGGGAGTCACCACAACATGAGGAACTGTATTAAGGGGTCGCGGCATTAGGAAGGTTGAGAAACATTGCCCTATGTCAGCAACATATTTATTTATCCAAAGACAGACATCCCGTCTTCTCTCCTGTCTCACACTTAACACGTGAAATAAATACCAGCAAAATAGTTTAAAACTCAAAACAAACATAATTGGAACCAACCAAAGCATATCAATTTCAACTCATTTTGAAGGTTTTTAACTATTTCATAAGGGCCCCTGGTGGCACAGCAGGTAAAATCAAAAAGGTTAGTGGTTCAAATCCAGGGTGTGGGGTGAGCTCCCACTGTCAGGTGCAGCTTCTGCCAACATAGCAGTGTGAAAACATGCACATCTGAGTAGATCAATAAGTGCCGCTTCTGTGGGAAGGTAACAGCACGCCATGCAGTCATGCTGGCCATATGACCTCAGAGGTGTCTATGGACAACGCTGGCTCTTCAGTTTAGAAATGGAAATGAGCACCAACCCTCCCGAGTCGGCTCTTCAGTTTAGAAATGGAAATGAGCACCAACCCTCCCGAGTCGGGCATGACTGGACTGAATGTCAGGAGAAACCTTTCCCTTTCCCTTAATTATTTCATGCCAGTTTGAAGCATATTTTAAAAGTTTCAAGGACAGGCAAACCCACCTCACTGCAGGAATGATATCTCTGGGGTGCTGGGACCGGACATGGTTTATTGTAATGGTTTTCTGAATTATCCATGATTTTTGATAATCACTCTCCATCCCGGAGTGGATTCTTCATTCAAACAGGAATCAAAGGCCCCATTTACACCGACCATTTAATGTAGTTTGTGGTCAAGGTGCCACAGTTTGAAGCTAGCTATGAACTGCATTAAATGGTCAGTGCAGATGGGGGATTTTTGTTCTTCAAACTCAGCCTGTCTGTCTATCCACATAATAAACTTAAAAAATGTATGTGTGTATGTGGCAGAGGTGTCCACTTACACAAACACGATATAGTTCCAAAGGCACTCCCTCTACTGACACTGCAGGTTACAGCGAGCGCCATGAACATGTAGTTGAAAATCTGCCAGTGTCTTCCCCAAACATTACGGCCCACTACCGAAGAAATGCTTCCATTTTGGGACAATTTCATCCTAGTTTTGACATGTTTTCTCCACCACAGGCAGGCATCCCAGGGTTCCTTGTGTGGAATTTCCATGACCCCGCCCACTGCCTTTCCCTTAACCCTTTCCTATGGCACACAGCAAACACAGAGGAATTTGATCAGCAACTGAACAGACTGGAGGGGTTTGGGGGACTGACTCAACAGGATGGAAATTGTAGTTCCTCTGCATCAAGGCAGAACACTGTGACCCCCTGCAATAATGGACCTGGACCACATGTGGCACGCACAATCCCCATGACCAGGTTTGAGGGGAACTGACCTTGATTTATAGGTGGTGTACTTCACCTACATCCAGAGAGCATTGTGAACCCAATGATGGATCTGGACCAAAGTTGCCCCGGATGATGGAATGTGCAATACCGTCACTCACTTCCAGACCACTCCAACCTCCACAAATGATGGATCAGGACCAAACTTGGCACACAGGACCCCCCCCCCCCCGACCCACTGTATGTTCTGGTGAAGTTTGGAGGAGGACAGACCATGGAAGATGGGATTTGCAGTACCTTCACTAACCTCTAGAGACCACTCCAATATCCACAAATGATGGATCATGACCACTCTTGATACACAGACCCCCCCCCCATGACCCAGTATGCATCTTGGTGAAGTTTGGAGGAGGATGAGCCATGGAAGATGGGATTTGCAGTACCATCATCCAATTTGCAGTACCTCCATCCCACAGACCACTGCGACCACCACACATGACTGACCTGGACCAAACTTGCCACACAGACTCTCCATGATGCAGTTTTTTCCTGGTGAGGTTGGAGGTGGATGCACCAGGAACGATGGGATTTGCAGTATCTTCATTCACTTCCAGAAACCACTACAACCCCCACAAATGATGCACCTGGACCAAATTTGGCACACAGACTCCATATGACGCAGTTTATGTCCTGATGAAGGTTAGGGGAGGATGGACCACAGGCAATGGGATTTGCAGTACCTTCACCCATTTCCACAGCCCACTGCGACCCCCCACAGCCCACGAATGACAGGCCTAGACCAAACTTGCGACACAAAATCCCCATAGCCAACAGAACATACTGGAGGGGTTTGGGGAACTGACCAACTGCATGGGAATTGTAGTTTACCCTGCACCTAGAGTACTCTGAATCCCACCAATGTCGGATCTGGACCAAACATGGCACACAGAACCCTGGTGACCAAAGGAACATACTGGAGGCGTTTGTGGGGGACTGACCAACCTGTGTGGGAGTTGTAGATCACCCTGCATACAGAGCATTCTAAACCCCCTCAATAACAGATCTGGACCAAACTTGGCACATAAACCCAACATGCCCAACCGTGAATACAGGTGGAGTTTGGGGGTCATTGCCCTCGGAATCTGGGAGTTGTACTTTACCTGCATCCAGAGAAACTGTGGTTCCCAGCAACCATGGACCGGGACCAAACTTGGAGCAGAGAAGCCCCATGACCAACAGAACATGCTGTGCAGGTTTGGGAGAATTGACCTTGATTTTGGGAGTTGTAGTTCACCTGCATCCCGAGAGCACTCAGCTCAGCTGACAATGGATCTGGACCACACTTGGCACACCAGCCCAACATGACCAGCTACAAATACTGTTAGGATTTGGGGGTGACTACCCTTGGCATATGGGAGTTGTAGTTCACCTGTATCCAGAGAACTCTGAACCCAGCCGATGACAGAGTTGACTAAACTTGGCACACACACTCAACATGTCCAATTGGTTTAGGGAGGATTGACCCATGATTCAGGGAATTGCAGTTCACCCACATCATAAAAAACGAAACCACATTCTGGCTTTTCCAAAAGAAATAGGGTTATTAATTAACTACACGATATTACCTAACACCCCAAAACAAACAATGCCATTTTCATATAACCTGGGCATCTGAATAAAACAGGAGCCCCTGGTGGCGCAGTGGGTTAAACCCCTGTGCCGCCAGGACTGAAGACCGACAGGTCGCAGGTTCGAATCCGGGGAGAGGTGGATGAGCTCCCTCTATCAACTCCAGCTCCTCATGCGGGGACATGAGAGAAGCCTCCCACAAAGATGATAAGAACATCAAAATAATCCGGGCGTCCCCTGGGCAACGTCTTTGGAGACGGCCAATTCTCTCACACCAGAAGCGACTTGCAGTTTCTCAAGTCACTCCTGACACGACAAAAAAAAATATCTTAATAAAACCATTTCTGATCCTGCCTTCATCCATGCATGTTTTTAGTGGATCAATTAGAGCTCAGGCACGGTGGGAGATCCGAGATTTCGGACAAGAAGGACCATTGCATTGATCTCCCACAGATGAAACAAGTGATACTCCTGACCTTCGGAAAAAGAGCGAAAAGGTGTCTCCTCTGGGGTAGAGAAAGGTGGGGTATAAATATAGTAAATAAATACAAATAAATAAAACACTCAAATGTTACCAAAAAAAGTTTTTTACTATATACAGAGTAAAAATGCCAGATGTTCCAGCTGCGTTCAGAAAATGAAGAGGATCGTATTGGAACATACGTAACATAATGGAGTGCAGAAAAGTATTTCAGAGGAAAATCAATCTGTGCTTTATCATTTATAGCAAAGCCTTTGATTGTACAGATCATGAAAAACTATGGATTGTTCATAAAGAAGTCGGAGCACCACAACACTGGATTTTCCAAATGCGTAACTTTTACTCAGGACAAGGGCCACTAAGAGGACAGAAGAAGGAAATACATGGCTCCAAGTTGGCAAGGGGATGAGACAAGGCTTATCACAGCCAAATCCTCCCTATATCCCTGGGAAACGCCAGGAAACGCAAGAGCACAGCCCCATAGCCAGGATTTCATTTCGGGGGGGGGGGGGTGTGTGAATTTTTTCGGGGGGGCTGAGTTTGGGGGGGGGCTGAGTCTGAGTGAAAGAGGGTCTACCCTAGCAAACCTTTTGTATCATTACCCCAATACCCCCATCCATATGGGATATATTGAGTATGGTGATCAGATCATGATATGAATAAACATAACAGTTTAAGTAATCCACCAGTAAGGCCTTTTCGCGAACCACCATGAGAATTGCAGGCTACATGCCTGCAAGAGCAAATAGACTTACAACTGAATTTCAATAAATGGGATTTTTGACAAAAAAAAAAAAACAGATTTGGATCTTTTCTTCCCTCTCTGTTGTTGTTGTTGTACCTGGGCTTTCCAAATGGGAGGAAGAAGTCCCCGGCTGACCCATGAGTGGAGCACTGCCATGAGGAGTGGCTTCATCATTCACACTCCAGCCTCCCAGTCAGGTTTTCACACAGATGTAAAGAGAGAGCAGAGAGGCTTCAGAAAGAGAGCAAAAACAACCCACAGCCCCACATCTCTGGAGATAAAGCTTGGCTGGTGGGAATCTTTGGGCGTTGCGCTCCATCCTTAGGGAGAGAGCTCCAGTTGGGTTTTTTCATTCACATAAAAGAAGGGAAGGAGGGTCTCTCCTGAGAAAGAGGCTGGAGGGTATTCCAAGATCAGGGCTGCTGAGTCTGCATCGTAAACGGCCACCTGACCCCCTTCATAGTTCAGAGTAACTCTGACCCTCTTGGGCTCCTCGCTCCGAGTCAGAGATGGGGGCACACCTCTACCTCCTGCCTTTCCCACTGTCCAGATCCCAGTGCCAGGGGAACAGGGAATTGCGCCCTTTCTCTGCACAGACTTTCTGGCAACCCCCATGAACCATTCTTCCTCATTCTTCACAAGCGCTTCCCAAAAATGCCTGCCCCCAGTAAATCCCTCCTGTCCCAGCACAAAAGGATAATGATTGAATCTCTCAGGATTGTCAGGAAGATCTTGCCGTTTCTCTCCACGTGTCACATGACTGCGATCTTCAGAGAGGATGAGCCAAGGATGGGCTGTGTCTGGATCCAGAGTCACGTATGCTGTTGGTGGTAGAGGCAGATCAGGGTGAAGTGAGAAAGAAAGAAAGAAAGAAAGAAAGAAAGAAAGAAAGAGAGGGAGGGAGGGAGGGAGGGAGGGAGGGAGGGAGGGAGGAGGGAGGAAGGAAGGAAGGAAGGAAGGAAGGAAGGAAGGAAGGAAGGAAGGAAGGAAGGGTAAACAGATGGAAGATCAGCTTCCATCTCTGACTCTTTAAAAATGACAGGGGAATATTCTCTTGCCCTCTCAAATCTAGATTGGTTCTACATTATGTTACTCTTCTTCCTACGGCCAACCTTTGAGCATGGAGTGATGGGACTGTGACTCTAGGGACCCGGGTTCAAATCCCCCTCCGTCATGGAAACCCACTGGGTAACCTTGTGCCAATCCCACACTCTCCACCCCAGGAAACCCTATGACAGGATCGTCTCGGTTTACCGGAAGTCATAAAGAATTTAAGGGCAGACTAATCACCTGGCTTTATGCCACTATCAAATTCCCACATATCTCACATTGGGGAAGGAGACTCATTCTTTATCTAGGGGTGCATAATGTGCGCCACTAAAATAAGCTTGAAGCAAAGAGCCAGAAAAAGTCAGTGTTTGGGTTATTTTGACACCCTTTTGGGAGTTCTATACAGAATCCAGACACATGCCATTTGTTCAGAGCTTTAAAAATCTACTCAGACAGGCGAACCGCACTCCACTCTCTCGGCCTCAATACAACCTTCTGTGAAAAAATCTGTTTGTTTGTTTACCTTTTTGCTGCTGAAGGCCAGATTCCAGAGAGGCTGGAGAGAGAGAAAAGAGAGTGAGGCTTCGCACAACATGGTGACTCTCAGAAACCCAGGGATAACCAACACAGGAAGGCTGACATCCTGCACCCAAGAGAGGTAGTGCGATTTTACTCGCGGAGAGTTACATCTCATTGATCAAAACGTTATCTCTGGGAGTCTCCAAGTCCCCTCCAGAGTGACTCAATTGTAATGTCATGCTGGGGGAATAGAGATCCCTACAGAGAACACCTCTCGAAGAATCTCCAAGTGCAACTTCTTTCAGATGGTCAACTTCTTACTTGGTAACCTAGGTCCCTTCTACACTGCCATATAAATTCCGATTATCTGCTTTGAATTGGATTATATGGCAGTGTATACTCATATATTCCAGTTCAAAGCAGATAATTATTTCGGGCCTTAAGATCAGTCAGGGAGGCCCTCCTATCGATCCCACTTCCCTCACAAGTGAGGTTGGTGGGGACAAGGGAGAGGCCTTCTCAGTAGTGGCCCCCAACTCTTGCCTATTTCCTTGGTCCTCTCCAAGGAAATAGGCAAACACCCAGTCTTTTACTTTTCAGGAAGGAGTTAAAAACCTGGCTATTCCAGCAGGCTTTTGATAATGCTGAAGAGCATTAACCACCTTAGCGGACATGACTTGAATGGCTTAACTATAACCCGCAATGCTGGATATCCTGATCATAGGAAGTGGCTTGTTTTCAATGGCGCATATATTTCTACTGTATTAAGAGGGCAAGTTTTAAAATTTGCTTTACTAATATTTATGCTATTGTTTTTTGTTGTATTAAATGATATGTGACGATTGTCAGTGCTATATTATTTATGGTATTTGTTTATTGTTGAAAGCCCTGTGTCCCTTTGGGAAGAGGTGCGGGATACAAACTAACCTCATTATTATTATTATTATTATTATTATTATTATTAGTAGTAGTAGTAGTAGTAGTAGTATCTCTTTTGATAATATGGCTTTTACATGGTAGTGTAGAAGGGGCCCTAGACATTTCTTGGTATTCTCTCAGGTTTTTTAAAACCACAGTTCCCCCTTTGCCTGGAGATGCCCCATCCTTCACTCCTGCGAATTGGCTGTCCAATGTTCATATTCCCCTTTGAATCAAGACCACGTAATACTACAGCTTGCTGATAAAGTAATGGGTGCCCCACAACATACGGTTTTCCTAATGTGCAACTTGTACTCAACCAGTTCTCACAATTGCAGGTTGCATGAACCAGAGTAAGGCCGATCGGGGTCCTCTCAGTTTTCATTTTGTTTTGCTTCACAACTGAAATGTGATTCCACACTTGAAATAAAATGGAAAAGAAAACAAATGGCACTGTTCCATGATCCAGGTGGACTCCAAAATGGGCCTAGACAGAGAAGGATAGTCCATTTTATGGGCAGGGGGAGGCTGGGGAAGTTGAAGGAGGGAAACAGTTTTCCCCGTTATTTCCCCCCTCCTCCTTCACCATATCATAAGCAATGGTTGTTTTGGCGATGGCAACATGGGTGGAGGGAAATGGTTTAACTCCTTCAACCCTCAAGCTGCAATGAGTCCTCTTCGGGGGAAATAAAGCAGGATATTATTATTATTATTATTATTATTATTATTATTAATAATAATAATAATAATAATAATAATAATAATAATGGGTGCCGTGCCAAAAGATCTCAGCCGGCATCTGGAAACAATTAACATTGACAAAATCACGACCTGTCAACTGCAAAAAGCCACCTTACTTGGATCTGTGCACATCATTCAAAAATACATCACACAGTCCTAGACGCTTGGGAAGTGTTCAACTTGTGATTTTGTGATACGAAATCCAGCATACAGATCTCGTTTGCTGTGACATACTGTCTTTTTGTGTCAGTAGAATAATAATAATATTTATAATTATAATAATTATAACAACAACAACAACAACAACAACGGCAACAATAATAATCTTCCCTTGCCTGGATAATGAAACAGTAGCGAATAAATCAATACAGAAAATAATCAATTTTGTTTCACATTTGAAATTGTTTCGCTTGGCATTCTAATAGTGGCTCTAACTTTCCGAATGCTTTGGAACTTTCCCCCCCCCCTTTTAGACCAATGTCACATCTCATGAAGATCCTTGCAGACATTCTCCCTTACCTCTAAATTGTTTCATGACACCCTTCAGAAAGGGAGTGAAATCACGGAAGTCCCAGATCTTCCACTTCAGGGCAGGAGGAAAGGCTGCAGAAGTCTCAAATGTCTCCTTGTTCTTATACCTGGAGGAGAAAGAACACTATCCGAGGATGCACAAACAGAAGGAATGCAGTTTGATACCACTTTAACTCTCCCATGGCTCAGTGCTATGTAATCATTTACGGGGCCTTCTTTGCCAAAGTGTGCTGGTGCCTAGTTTCCAAGCATTGAGCCATGGCAGTTCAAGACAATTTCAAACTGTGAACTTTACATTCTGTTGTTACAGCATTTGAATCCTTGTGTCATGTATTTTAGTATATGTTGTTTTCTGATAGTGTTCCCATTTTATGGTATGTATTCATAGTGATGTGCTTTGGCTGGATTGTGTCCTGCCTCAAGTCCTGAGGGGAGGTGTACAACAAATTTAAGTTGTTGCTGTTGTTGTTGTTGTTGTCAAATTGCTTTAATGCAGCACAGAATTACAGAATTGAAGGGATCTTGTTGGCCATCCAGTCCAATTCTGTCTGTGGCCACCAGCGAAACACAGACTCCTGCAATGCACTGCTGCTTTTGAGAATTGTGTATTTCGTGTTGAAATCTGAGCTTTAGTGAGAGGAGGAGAGGAAACGAACTTACCCCTCTAAGGTGCTTCTGATATCCTGTAAATGAAGGGAAGAAAGAACCCAGCAGAGGCATTTGGAAAAGTTAAACATCCTGCCTATAGTTCTGAACTTTCCCATTGGACTATCACCGATTTGGACCCCTGAAAGAAGCCCTTCATGTCTGATGTAGAGGTGTAGACAGTGGTGAAGACCGTGGTTCGTTCATTTTTAATAAGGGAATGCAAAAGCTTATTGATAGATGATTATGTCAAAAATGATGTATTCGTCTTTTCTGAAAGTTGATTAAAATAAATTCTGCAGCCAGACTGTGTACAATTTTTGAGATGTTTTGTGTGATCAATTGATCTGATGTGTTGTCGGCTTTTATGGCTGGAATCACTGGGTTGCTCTACGTTTTTCGAGCTGTATGGCCATGTTCCAGAAGCATTCTCTCCTGATGTTTTGCCTGCATCTATTGCAGGCATCCTCAGAGGTTGTGAGAACATGGCCATACAGCTTGAAAAACTTACACCAGACCGATCGTATCTCTTAGAGGTGGAACCCAAGCTAGTGTTGTTGTTGTTTATTCGTTCAGTCGCTTCCGACTCTTTGTGACCCCATGGACCACTCCACGCTAGAGCTCCCTGTCGGCTGTGGCTTGTGTCAAATTCATTTATGTTTCTTCTTTGCCTTGTAAACACAGCACAAAGGTAATGTCACACAATAGTTTGTGCACACAGAACCATGAGAAAACTGAAGTGTCACTGTCTCAGCCATCCATGGGGACAATATGGGCCTTACCTGGAGGAGTTGACTTGCCGGCTGCTGATGCTTCTCCTCCATCTCTTGGATGAGTTTTGAGAGAGAGGAGAGTTCTTCGGGGAGTCTGGCCAGATGTTCCTCCTCTTTGGCTGAAATCTCCTTCTCCACCTCTTCCATTTTTGCCAGCAGATTCCTCTCTTGTTCTTCTAGAAAGCAGTGCATGAACCTGAATGCAGCCACAGTCTTCTCCTTCTCTCTCTGGGTTTTCTCCTAGAAAAAAGGAAAGGAGAAACAGTTGTGAGAGGCAGAAAGGGGGTCTTTGGAGTGAATTCTCCACATTCCTTTGAAGTGGAGCTTACATCTCTTCACAAAGAAAAAGTCAATATCCAGTGGTGAAAGCGGTTTGTGAAGGCCTGCAAGGGCCTGCCACTGGAATGGGTTTGGGTCAGTATTGTCTGTAGGCTGCCATGTCTCTTACAATGTGAGATATTTTTGAAAAAAGAAATTCAGTTTATTCAGACTCACATTCAAGTCAACAACATCATCATCAACAACAACAATAGCAACTGTATTCTTATACCCTGCCACCATCTCCCTAACAATCCAGATAAGAACAAAGTGAAATAGAGTATAAAAAAGAATATAAAGCAGCACCATCAAAACAATGCTCGACAAAAACCAAAAATACTTTTTCTAGCCTGTGTGAACATGGGATAGTGCAAAGCGGCGTACCACAGGGCCTGGAAGCTGGATGAAGTGCAGAGACCAGAGAACTATCTGGCAAACTAGGGACTGGGCATATGTCACTAGGGACTACTCATTCTCAAATGCTAGCTGAAACACCCAGGCTTTCAAGGACAGTGTAGGGGCTTGTTTGATCTCCAAAATGGGGGGGGGGGGGCACCACAAATCATGCTTGTGACATTGGTGGGGCTTCCTTGGCAGATCTTAGTTACAAAGATTGGTGGGGCCCGAACTGTTTAGGGCTTTATAGATCATAATCTGCACTTTGAATTGGGACCAGAAACACATCAGCAGCCAGTGGAGCTGCTTTAATAGGGGTGTTATGCGCTCCATATAATTCGCTCTGGTTAGAAGTCTGGCTGCTGACCTTTGCACCAGCTGCAATTTCCGGGCCATCTTCAAAGGCAGCTCCATGTAGAGCGCATTGCAGTAATCCAATCTAGAAGTAACCAAGGCATGGACCACCTTGGCCAAGTTGAGGTACGGTCACAGCTGGCACATGAGCTTTAATTGTGCGAAGGCCCTCCCAGCCACTGCTGATAGCATCAAGTGACAGCACTGAATCCAGGAGGACCACCAGACTGTGGACCTGTGACCTTGGGAGGAGTGTAACCTCATTGAGCATAGGTTGCCACCCTATACCCCGATTGGCCTCGTGACTGACCAGATGGCACGAAACTCCAAAACTCTGGATGACTTCACCCAGTGGTTTCATGTAGATGTTAAAAAGCATGGGGTGTCATGACCTTATTTCCTGGTTTCGTGTGAAGCCAGGAAATTAGGCCATGCCTTACATCTGGCCTGTCTATATTTGAAACAAGGGAGAAGGTTGCCATGGAAATGGGACAATGAAGGGAAAGGGCCAGCATGAAGGATAGGTGGCGTGAAGGAAATAAACTGGCAGTTGGAATTTTGTTGCATCCCCTACTGCATGCTTTTGAATTAAAGCCTTCCAACTTTGTTTGTGAGGCAATTCTTTCACCAGAAAGCTACAGATCCAGACATGGGGGATAGAATGGAACCTTGCAGGACCCCCACAGGTCAAAGGCCAGGGGTCCGAGCAGGTGTCCCCCATCTTCAATAACTGGGTGTGATTCTCCAAGGAGTGGAGCCACCACAAAGCAATGCCCCCAAGACCCATTCCAGAGAGCCAATCCAGAAGGATACCCAGGTTGATGGGATTAAAAATCACTGAGATATCCAAGAGAACCAACAAGGACACACTCCCCTGCCTATCTCTTTTTGGAGGTCATTCACCAAGCAGCAATGCCACTTACGAGCAAATCTCGCCTTTCTTGTGCTGTGTCTGCTTTGTAGGCCAGAATTTTCTCTCTCTCCTCCTTCAGAGTCTCCAGATAATTCCAAATCTGACCCTGAAGAGGAAAAGAAAGCTCTTGGTCACTACTTTTCGTCAAGGTTTAGAATGGTTTCAAAGATCATACCATCAACCATACCACATTTATTGAATTTTATGGGTGCTTTGGACAATGTTGGCCTCTATTGGAAGCCCACTCTTCTTTTGTTACTACTGCTTCCACAATTATCTTTACTCATAAAAAGTCCCTCCAAATGAAAAAAAGGTATCTGAAAATCCCAGGTTTTATTCCTCTACTAATCAATGTTATTTTGGAGATGCAGTTGATGGATGCTATCGCAGGAGGCAGGCAAAGTGACATTGCATCCTTATTGTATGATGCCAGGTTCATCCTGGTGCCGGTTTGCCCCCTCCCTCCCTAGATATTGTCCGTGAAAATCCACCTATAGCTCACAATCCCGCAATATTCCTGTCTCTTACTTTGATGCAATGTGTCCCATCCCCTTCTGTGCCAGCATGATGGGAGCAAGATCACATCAAAAGATGGGATTCTCTTCCTCTTCACACTTTCCACTATTCCTCACTAATCCAATACTGTCTGACACACACACACACACATAAATTGCTCAAATTGCTTATGGGACTCTGAATGGCTGAATTGGCAGAACTGAGCCAATGAAGAGAAGTGTGATATAAAACTCCTCAATTTGGTATCACTCTAGGTTCTTGTGGGTTTTTCGGGCTATAGAGCCATGTTCTAGACGCATTTCTCCTGACGTTTCACCTGCATCTATGGCAAGCATCCTCAGAGGTAGTGAGGTCTGTTGGAATTAGGACAAAGGGTTTATATATCTGTGGAATGGCTGGGGTGGGGCAAGGAGCTCTTCCCTGCTGCAGTTAGGTGTGAATGTTTCAGCTGATCACCTTCATTAGCATTTGAAGGCCTGCCTGAGCCTGGGAAAATCTCTTGCTGGGAGGTGTTAATCTGTGCCTGGTTGTTTCCTCTCTGTTGTTTTGCTGTTGTAATTTTAGAGTTGTTTAATACTGGTAGCCAGATTTTGTTCATTTTCATGAAAAGGTGCACCCTTGATCCCTGAAAACATCAGAGCCTGGGGAAATATGGAACTCCAGCCACAGACCTGTATTATGGGGTGGAGATGTACCACAACACCTTGCCCCTACATTGGCAGTCTTCAGAAAGAACTTGAAGACCTGGCTGTTCCGATGTGCCTTTCCTGATTAGGAAATCTCCAATAGCAAGCCCCAGACGCACTTTATTAGCATTAAGACTGCCACACACTGCACATTGCACTTGCCTATCATCCTTACATATCACCTGTCACATCAGCACTTTAAATCCTGTACCCTTTACTCTGGCTGGCCCAGTTTTATCTTGTTTGATGTATTGTTGATTGCTTGTGGTTCTTGTTGTTTAATACTGCTTTAATTGTTTTTAATTTGCTTTAAGTATGTTGTATGTTGTGTATTGAGGCCTTGGCCTTTGTAAGCCGCATCGAGTCCTTCGGGAGATGCTAGTGAGGTACAAATAAAGTTTAATAAAATAATAATAATAATAATAATAATAATAATAATAATAATAATAATAATTGTTAGGGGTACCTATTTAACCCCCCGCCTCACCTTGTACTCCTTTGATGCTTCATCCAGAGGGATCACTTTGTGGTTTTCGTGCTCCTTCGACCTGTCGCATACCACACAGATGGGGGCGTCATGGTCCTTGCAGAAGAGCTTCAGGGGCTCCTGGTGCCTTTGGCAGAGTCTCCCCTTTTCTTTCTCCATTTCTATGGCGATCTCCACCAAGTTTGCCAGCTTCCAATTCCGCTTGATGCCCCTTTTCTGCACTTTCTCCCTGCATTGTGGGCAGGAGGCCTCTTCCTCCTCCCGACCTTGATCCAGGCAGGCTTGGCAGAAACTGTGCCCACAGGAGAGGCTCACGGGCTCCTTGAAATACTCCAGGCAGATGGAGCAGGCCAGTTCCTCACAAAGCTTCTTCACAAGGTCTCCAGAGGCCATGGCTACCAATGCTTCTCCACTGCAGAGACCAGACAAAGCTGTTTCTCAGCCTTTCTCTTTCTGGAAAGCAGCTGATGACTCCGCCTCTGCCCAACCTTTTCCTTTTCTCTGTCTTCCTGGGCACCATGCAAGCCGTTCTCTATGCACAGAAGTCCCTTAAAGGCATGGCCAGACTCACCGGGCCAAAGAAGTTGCGGTGCAGGGCGTTCCCCACCGCCATTCTTGCCTAAGGGGGCTTCTCCCTTCCAGAAGCCCCCTCTGATGGCGGGAAGGTTTCCCGCCGGTGGGTCAAGGGGCCAATCGGGTGGCTGCGGCCTACTTCCGGCGCGGGGCCTGGCCTGCGGCCTGCTCACCGCCTGGCCTTCCCCCGCCGGGAATTCAAAATATTCATATTCCTATATATTTATATACGTTTGTATATATCGTCCACCTTCTCAGAACATCATACGGACCCACAAGGAAATCCATAATGGAAGACCATCTTACTCGTCCAACGAGGGATCGCCTAAGTAATGCTCCCTGCGCTCCGCTCCTGTTTTACCCTTGTTGTAAACCGCGCTGAGTCGCTTGTCGGGCTGAGAAACAAGCAAAGTAAATAAATAAATAAATAAATAATATACAATAATAATATAATATAATATAATAATACATACGAAAATAATTACAAAAATTGGAAAAAATTGTTTCGATTCTTAATTACTCCTCACACTATCCCTGCATGGCTCGATATTCGATCGAAAGCTAATTTAAATATGAATTCATAACGAGTTTAGAAACTAACGAACACGGTCAACCAAGCCTACTGCCTACATCTCTCTACTTTTTCTTGATGTTTCTCCTTTTAGAAACGGGCCAGGGCATCTTTGCACGAGAAATTCTTATTTTTATTTCATTCTTTACTTTATAAAGACGACTTTTGTTATTTTGACTCCCGGGATCGAGCCTCATGGCAGCCAGGAATGGATTCCCTGCAGATTTGGCAGAAAAAGAATCATAATCTCCATATTATTATTTTTTTTTTGCCTTTGATCCAACCTTGGCTTTGAGGTTTTTTCCTTTTCTGAGCGTTGGGTTTCTTTGCAAAATCTCCCCACAAAAAGGGGGAAAGATAAACAGGATTTTGGATCCAAATGTGGGAAAATGCAGGGGTTTTATTGCAGCGGTTTGTCTTGGCTCT